TTTTTTCTGCAGGTGTTTTTCTTTCACCTGCACTGTTTTCTTTTTTACCGCAGCAGTTTTTTTTTCAGCACTATTTGTCTTTTTCACCGTGACAGTGTGGAGGGAAAACTCTGTCCTCTTCGTTACTTTAAACCGCATACAGGAACACGCTAGACTGCACAATTCTCCTGCACAGTGTGTTTATCCTGCTCATCTATTCACTTGGAGCTTACCACTTTCTCCAGATGACAGATCTTCTTCTCCTGGTCATGAATTTGCTGATTCTTCATCTCCAAAACCTCCTTCAGACTCTTCAAGTCCTCCTCTATATGCTGATATGGCGCCAGCACATCCTGCAAATACATTTACAATACTTACTTTCAGTGTTTGTGTGCCTATATTCAAGTATCCCTTTCTAAATGTCTTAAAGAAACATACCACAATCTGTTCATCAGTGCTCTTCCTCAGAGCTTCTTCAAAACGCCTGGCTTTATCATTCAGAGTCCGGTTCTGGAAAGTCAGAGTGTCCACTTGGTCCTAAAGGAAATGGTACTGTTACTGATGAATCTATTTGGATGATTTGCAAAAATCTCAAACCTTGATTTACTCAACAATCACCTGAAGCGAGAGGCGCAGTTTCTCAAAGTCATCTTCTAGACTGGCCTTTTGCTGCTCATGGGCTTTCCTTAAGTCTAAGAGAAATGAATGCAGAATTTTAGTTCTTCTCCACATTTTGGTCAGCTGGTTAGTAGTGGTATTACTAATCAGACACTAACCCCTCATGGTCCTGGCATGCTCTTCCTGCAGTGTTGACATAGTGATGTTGTGCATGGTCTTCAGGTCTTCAAGGGCGGCCTCATGGTTGGCAGTCAACTCTTCAATCTAAACACAAAACACACAGTTGAGTCTTCAAATTCATGCCATCTTAAATGTATTTCCCCCGATCCTCAGCCAGACGATCTGACCTGTTCCTGGTGTTGTGTGCGCAGCTCCTCCACCTCTGATTGGTGCTCTGCTCTGAGATGGTCTCGGTCTGAAGCGTGCCGTAGTCTCAGGTTCTCCTCTATGGTAGTGAGTTCAAACTCCTGCTGGACCTGTAACTCTCTCAGCTCCCTCTCAAAACACTCCTCCAGCTCTCTCTTCTCCTTCTGGAGACGCTCCCAGCGAGCTGCGTTAAAGGCTAGGTGATTTGAGAAACAGAGTATATGGATTTAAATAACGCAAACCTGCTTTTATCTTAGTAGTTTATGGGCACACATGAACCTCTTTGAACTCACCCACTTCATGTTGAATCCGACTGAGTTCCAGGGACAACTCTCTCTCCTTCTCCTCTGCACTTTCACTCTGAAATACACGCAAAAGAATGAAAAAGAACTCACAATAAAAAAAAATACTACTAAAAACACTACTAACATCTTTCTCTCTCTCTCTGTCTCTACACACACACACACACACA